GGGGTGAAGGGAGGGCTAGGAATGGGGAAAAAATAAGAAGCAAGATGCATTATGTAAAGGTACACTTCCCAATGAGAAGTGTAATTGTGTTGTATATCTAAAATGTACCAATAAATGTATTTAATTAAAAATAAAATAAAATAAAAGTAGATTGTAAAGCTTATTTATTCATAAATTAAAAGATAGAAGATTTTCTTAATAACCTTTATGTGAAGGTTAGCTGCACCATTCTAAAACAAAAGGAGAGTTAAGAGCTGGATATAAATTACTAAACATTATACCGTGGAAAGAAACATCTTTTGGTCTTCTCTTCCTAAAAGCAGGAATCATCTGGAAAAAGCAGTTGTTGGGAGGATGTAAGGGTCAAGGTGCTCAGAGAGGAAATTAAGACTTTGTTTATGTCTTGAAAACATCAGGGTAAAGAAGTATGGGGCAAGAGATTGAGTTACTACCTAACTTTTTCCCTGAGGTCTGCCAATACTAGCTGAGGATGTCACAAAGAGGACTAGCCAGTACTGTCTCCACTGGCACAGGGAAGGAGAATAGGGAAAAAAACTTTTCTCAATTGCAAAAAGTTGGTCCAGTCACTTGGTATATAATTTGTGTTAACAGCCTATCTCAGTTCTTTTAACTCCCCAGATTCTCTTAGACAGTTCTCTCCTTTTTCCTTCTCATTCATTTTTTATACCTAAAAAAAATCATTAGCACAAGTAAACACAGACCAGTGATTAATTTTAAAATAAGAAATATTCATTTTTGCTTACACAAATTAAGTCGAATAGTAAATAGAACAGAGAGATATATTAAGCCTTGGGACTGCTATTTCCAAGTTATGTGACCTTGAGCAAATCCTGCACATTTCTGAATCTAATTCTTGTCCATAAATGTAGATAATAAATTTCAGCTGCCCTGAAGATTACACAATGGTTCACAAACTCAATAGCCATATATATATATATATATATATATATGATATTATGCCTGAAGATTATGTTGTTGTTGTTTTTTGGTACTGGGGATTGAACTCAGCGAGGCAGGCGGCTGTACCACTGAGCTAAATCCCCGGCCCAAGATTACATTGTTTTAACTATATAAGTGAGCATTTTAATTTTTAAAAAAAAGAGACGCGAGGGCTGGGGATTTGGTTCAATGGTGCCACCGCCTGCCTCGCAAGCACAAGGTCCTGAGTTCGATCCCCATACCAAAAAAAGAAAAAGAAAAAAGAGATGCAAGAAGGATTTATTAGACATAGATACAGGACACACTCAAGAGTGGAGTGAGAGTGCACAGAGAAATGAGGCACCTTGAATGTTTTAATTTTTAAAATATTTAGATATTTCAGATATTTTAGATATTTTCTCCTAATTTGTCATCTATTAACTTTGCTTATAGTGTCTGATGTAAAACTCCATGCCTTTATTTTGATGTAACTTCATGAATATTTTCACATATAACTTCTGTTTTTGAAAAGTTGTAAAATAAACCATTCCTCAGTATTAAGATAATGCTCTTCCACTACTGCTGTTAGCTTTTTAGTTTGACCTTTCATTCACAGGCCTTTACTGCATCTGGAGTTCTTTCTTTTGATGTTGTATGTAATTCTCTCCAGATGTTAGCCTGTTTTCTTTTCCCCAATGATTTGGTGAGCCATATTTATCATATATTAAGTTTCCAAGTAAAGCTGATATTGCTAGCCCTAGAAGCACTGCTTGAGTAGCAGAATTCTAAGCCATGGGATTGAACACCTACATCAAAGAACTGGTAATAGTGGATCAACGCAAAATTAGGAGAACATCAGGGTAACACGTTGAATTAGTAAATGAATAAATCCAGTATGAAGTAAAAAAGCATGCTTATTAAAAGTTTTCAGATGACAAAAAGGATGGCCGTAATACCAAGAGGCTGAAACATGAGGATGGCAAGTTTGAGCTCAGTCGGAGAAACGATTTCAGGATACGTTGTCTCAAAAAAATTAAAAAGGGCTGGTAATGTATCTTACTATGATGGCTCTGGGTCCAATCCCCAGTAAAAGGGAGGGAGCAAAGAAGGAAGGAAGGAAGGGACATATCTATCACCATGTAGCTCTTAAAAGCTTCAAAGTTCTGCTGTAAAGGATAAACTCATTAGGGTTGAGGATTGCTCAGTTGTGCCGTGCCTGCCTCGCAAGTGCAAGGCCCTGAGTTCAACCCCAGGTACCGAAAAAAATAAACTCATTCCTTTTGCAACATTTCTCTTCAGGAAAAATTAAATGATTGTGTTCATTTTATTGCAAATGACATGGACATCAGTTTACTTGTCTGTTCAAAAAATGCCAAGGAAAAGGTAATTTTAACTTTTATTAATATAGCTGACAAGTATTTAACTAGATGATTCATTCTGAAAACAGCTGAAGAGCTATAAATGCAAGTTAGCTGAGGATGTAGCTGTGTATGATGGTGGGGAGATACTGGGGTTAGAGGACCTTTCTACTCCCCCAGTATTTGTGGACTGGATTGTTCAAATGTCTTTGCTTTTTTTTTTTTTTTTGCTACTCATTTTTAACCTGATCAGTGAAACACAGAAAAAGGCTTGTGGCGGCAGGGAGGGTTTGAAGGGGGGAAGAAAGCCCATAAGACCCCAGCGTGAAATATGGGGAGCGAGTCTGTTACTCAAGGGAACTGACTTACACTAGTGATTTCAATTATTTAGCTTGGACAAGTCAGCTTACCTTCTTGGGCGTCAGTTTCGACATTGGTAGAGGCTAGATGTATTGGAAAGCAACTCAGCCGACTAGAAGTTGTCAGCTTTACTGAGCCCTTCCCAAACTAACTCACAAACTATCAGGGACCTTTACACCCGCCCTCTCTCCGCCTACGTAAAAGCGGCGCCCTCACGCGGTCCTAGCCACCTTTTTCTGTGCACGCGCTTATTTTAACCTCTACCCCCGCTTCCGGTCCGAGAGGCGGGACTTCCTGTCCTCTTGAGGCCGTTGCGGAAGTAGCTGCGGACAAATCGGCGTAGGGGGAGCTTGGAGAGGATAGTGCTTGTGAACTTGTAGCTGCTTTCAGCTTGCAAGATGCCAGGTCTGGCAGCCGCGAGCCCTGTCCCGTCTGAATCTCAGGAGAAGAAGCCACTAAAGCCCTGCTGCGCCTGTCCGGAGACCAAGAAGGCGCGCGATGTGTGGTCAGTGCGCAGCCTGGGAGGGGGCGGCTGGTGCAACGGCCCGCGCCTTGTGCGCTCTGCCCTCCCTTGACCTGCGGCGCCCTGGAGAGTTTCAGTAGGGTCTCGTAGGTTTTACAGTCGGCCCTTGGTGCTCAGCTCGGTCCAGGGAAAGGATTAAGGCGGAGAGAGGTCAGATTACGCCAAGACTCACGTCATCCTCTCATTCCTCCATGTGATTTTTGAGTATCGTCCTTGTTAAGCACTGCGTAGAAAAGCAAGAGGATGCCACCTGATTTTGAGAAGCTTAAAATATACCGAGACGTTTGCCAGTAATTGCTGTGCCGCGGGCTAAAGACTATGATAGATGTGACAAAACTAAAGAATAAAAATTTCTGGTAATTTCTAAGGATTTCTTCCCAAATGTAGTGATAGACACAGGGTACATTGGGTTCCCCTTCAACCTTCTTAAGGCAACCAAAAATTAAAAATCAATCTATAGTGTAGCTGATAACGTTTATCTAGGTCATTACTAATTCACAAAAACTTTTGTTTGTTCTTCATTATTTAGCCTTTATTGTAGAATAGATCTCATTAGAAGGCCTCAGATAACGTGAATGTGCACCTCCTCCCACCTCCTTTTGTCACTACAAAGTAGAGAAATAATAGATATAAAAGTAGAGGTCATAATTCATAATGAGGTAGGTGTATAGCAACTCAGTGCTTTCATTAATATTTAGTGCTTTGTAAATAATACTGTAAATGGAGGGTTGAAAGGCTGCAGTGTATACTGAAGTTGCTCCAATGGTAACATATGCTTATTGAATTTTTAAGTAGTATGATATCATGAATAAGACCTGAGGGTAGAGTCAGGGTTTGAATCTTCTCCACCATCTTGGTGACCTTGAGCAAGTTATTTAACATGTCTGCCTCCTATGTCTCTAAAATGAGCCAAATGTATTTGCCTCCAGGGTTGTTAATTAGGTTTAGTGATAGAGCATATCAGATCCCTAGCACAGTATATATAGCATTCAAATGATCAGTGAGTGCTAGCCGTTATCTTCATAAGGAGCTGGGGCTGTCTCTCCCATTTGCAGGCAGCCCTTGAGCTACACTGAAGGATAGTAAGAGTTTTGGTGGAAGGAGAACCTGTTTCCTTCTTTAAATTTCTTTTGCATGGGTCACCTCAGACCACTATGGCTTCTCCTTAAGTATCTACAGTCAGAAGTTAGTTTTTTCTTGTAATTGAATTTGTCCTAACTTGACTATCTCTGCTGCATTTTCAGGCTCTTAAAGCTATGTGGTCCTAGTCTTTTCTCTGAATTTTACAAGTGAAAAATTCTTTAATCATCAAAAGGGATTTGTCTTGCTGTTCCTGACTGCCAGATCTTTTGTGATGTTTATGTTGTAGATGTCTCATAACTAGAAGTGGATTTGTTTAGGTGTGTTTGAATGCAGCACAGAAACAGAAAGTTAATTCTTCTATGAACATGGGTCAAAAAAATAAGCTCTTCATTTAACATAAATATTTTATGCAGTTTATTTCATTATAGAGCTGTGTTATTCCTTGCATATAATAGCAAGATTTCATGTGTATACTTATTTCTTCTAATCAGGTTTTCCCTAAAATCTAGTTGGATGGAACATCTTTACAGGCATCTATCACAAGATCAAATCAAAACAAAGCTATCTTTTATAATAGCAGTTTTTAATTCCAGCTGTGTTTCACTAATGTGGTTCAGACCTACTTTGTTAGATAACAAGTACATTTTGTTTCACAGCATCATCGAGAAAGGAGAAGAGCATTGTGGGCATCTAATTGAGGCCCACAAGGAGTGCATGCGAGCCCTGGGATTTAAGATATGAACTGGTGAGCATATTGCTTCAGATTTGTATATTACTTCACATATTTAGTTGCCATTGGGCAATATTCTATCTGAAAGACAGTTCACCTGGTTAATCTAACATGTATAAGTATTACTTAAAAAATAACTTCAGTTGGGCGGGGGATTTAGCTCAGTGGTTCTGCTGCCTGCCTCACAAGCGCAAGGTCCTGAGTTCAATCCCTGGTTCCAAAAAATAACTTCAGTTCCCAGTATGAGGTATAAGTGATGCTAATAAACTAAGAGATGTTTGGCAGAGTTGAGAAGGGGAATATGCAACTTTCAAGAAAGAGTTTCACAGAAGCCTTTGAATTATGTTATAATCAGATTTAACTCGTGACTGTAGGAAGTTCAAAATACTCCATTTTCCAAGTTAAAGGAAGTAAATAAAAAATGTTCTCTGTTTCTTATTTCTAATGTGGGTTTTCAGTAAATGCAAATATTGTTTTGTGCAAATGAAAATGGAATTGTTGCTGTTTCTTTTCTACCATGCTTTATGTTTATAAAACTAAAACCTCAGACCATTTTTTGAAGAGCTGTGAATTGCAATTTTAGTACTAAAAGAAACTTTCAGTGATGTCTGTCCAATAATACAAGTAAGTTATTTCCTTTTGCTAGGAAGCTCTTCCTTCAGATATCAACTTTGCTCACTCCTCAGCTTCACTCAGATCTTTATTCAAAAGTCTTTTTGTTAGAAAGACTTTTTCTTCTGTTTACCTGATGTAAATAGCATCTCTTCCCTATCACGCTATCTCAGCCCTGTCCAATAGAACTTTCTGTGATGATGGAAATGTTCTTTATCTTCTCTCCCCAGTATGGTAGCCACTAGCCAGATGTGGCTGTTGAGGCCTTGAATTATTGCTGATGAGGCTGAGGAAATGAATTTTTAGTTTTTTGTAATTTTAATAGCCACATATGGCTAATAACTATTCTTAATACCGTCACCTGTGTATTGTGTTTTTTTAAAATCATCTTCATTGCTTTACTCCAACTAGATAAAATATAAGCTCCGAGAAAGTAGGAATTTTCTGTTTCCCTCACTCATATCCCCAACACCTGTAACACTGCCTGGTACATAGTAGGTGCTCAATAGAAGATTGTTAAGTAAATGAAAGAATAAATGAGAAAATTGAGACTTATGACTAGGAGAGGATTCCCAAGGTGGGTTAGGTAGGAGCAGAACAGGAACTTCCAGCCTCCAAGCAGACTCTGCTTTGTGCCCTCCTACACCCTACCACACTGCTACTTTTAACTTACCGATAACTGAGCGATAATGCCAGAGCTATTTGTCAGTTTCATAGTAATGGAGAACCTGGCTTCTTTCTCTTTCACCTCTTTGCTGCCTCTTTGGAATTTCACATATGGCTGGTCTTCCTGTTTGATGTTTAAGAAGGGAGGGATAAGGAATTTGCTCTAGGCCGATAAGAAGTAATATGACTGTGTAGTGGAAAATGATCTAGGGTACTGAGCCTTCATTTTGACCCTCTTGATGTCTAGTGTCATATGTTTTTCACTTGTGTTTAGTTTTCATCAAAACATTAATCCTCTTTGGATTTCACTTTTTTATATATGTTATGATTATGGTAAATCTGTTACTGTATATACATGATATAGTTAAGTGGATTTTAGATTAGGTGCTTATTTAAAGAGTAATCCATGGCGAATCATTCTGTTAAGTAAATTTAAAGGGAAGTTCATTCTTAAAAAGTATGCTTGGCTGGGTGTAGTGGTACACTCCTGTGATCCCTGCTCCTCAAGAGTCTAAGGTAAGAATATTGCAAATTCGAGACCATCCTGGACAATTTAGTAAGACCTCATCTCAAAACTAAAATGGCTGGAGATGTAGCTCAGGGGTATAAAGTGACCTTGGTTACCATCCTCGATGCCACACAACACAGTACACCTATTGACTATTTTTAAAGATGTGGAACCTCAACATTTGTATATGGCTTCCTTGTTCATATTCTAATTCTTCCTAGTTGGTTGTGTAAACTATTTACTAGAGATGAACCTGCCTTGATTTTTAAAAAGGACAGTTTTTTAAAATGCTGGCTTTTGGAACATCAAGAACTTCTTTTGGATTTCATGTGAACTATAAAAGTGGAACCGTTTTTTAAAGTAGCATACATTCAAAATAGTAGTAAGATACTATTTCCCTGTGTTTTCTGGGCAGAGAGTAAGAGTGATAGCTTTGTATTTTATTTGTGTATGAAAGAAAATGACAAAGCTTTGGACTTAAAAAACTTGATAGATTGTGTAGCCTTGGGCAGATCTTTTTCTTTTCTTTTTTTTTTTTTTTTTGGTGGTACTGGGGAATAAACCCAGGGTCTTCATATTGAGCTATATCTGTACCCCTTTTAAAATTTTTTATTTTGAGATAAGTTCTCAGTAAGCCTCTAAGTTGACCAGTTTGAGCTTGATCCTCCTGTCTCACCCTCCCAGAGTGCTGGGATTACAGACATGTGCTACCACACCTGTCTGTCCTTAACTTTTAGAATCTTAGTCTTTCCTTCTGTCAAATAGAGATAATAACACATACCCAAACTACCTGACTCTACTGTTGTGATGATTAAATAATATATGTGTGTTCGTGCTTTGTGAATTATAAAATAGAGACCAGAACAGAACAGCTCACACCTAGGAAATTGTAAGTAACATATACTCAGTTGAGATCTGTTGAATGTATGGCCTGATTATGTACTTTTGAATCCTAGTGCTAGAAGAGCAATCTGAATCGTATGGGGCCTTCCTAAGAATTCAAACTGTCATGTTTTTGTTTTCAGCATAGTGATACTTTTGAAGAGGGAGTGGATAGTGGTAGAATTAAAACTAGAGTTCAGGTCTTTTGTATTCACTTTACATTTTACTCCTTGTCCTTCCAGAGATTGTATTGGCAACATACTTATTTTTAGAATTAGCACATTATCTTAATCTTTAATCTTAAAACTTCATTATGAATGCTAATTAGAAAGTCCTATTTCTGACATGCATCACTGCATCCAACTCAATAACCAGGCCCTTGGCTGCAGGGTGAAATCGGCCCAGCTGTCTGCACTGCTCTGAGGTAACACTTAACTACCTCTTACAGTGTTAGATCTTCCTGAGAATAGCTTGGAATGAAAAAATTTAGCTCATCATTTAATAAAGCAAAGGCTTGGAAACTAGTAAGGAAAAATAGGTATGACAGTGGCAATTCTAAACAATTTTTTCTGTCTTTTGACTTTTTTTTTTTACTGAGAGTAGACAAACCTGAAGCCTGTTTAGAAATGTTAAGAAATGGGTGGCTAATACCTTTCCACCTTTAAGAGTCAGAAGAAACCTAGTGAACCCAGTTTGGTGGCTGAAATCAAATTCAACAAGTATCACTGAGTAGTAGTGGTATTATTTATTACATTTAACTGGCTGCAATTAACTGGCTGTTTGCTACATTTAACTTAAAAATGGGGTATACACACAAATAAGCAACTGATTATGAAAGTATAACTCGGAAATAATCCAGAGAATGGGTCATTTCTACCATTCAGACTTTCTGTTTTTTAATAGATATTTATTAAGATCCTAGAAAATGCCAAGATGAGAAAGATGCCCCTGCTGTCCAGTACTTTGCAGTCAGAATTAGAACCAAGGAGTTTCCATGGGTGCTTTGACAGAGCAGCCCCTCCTGATGTGTAGGCAGAGGTAACTGCTGTGGGCTGCTATCATTGGACTGTGAAAGTCTACATTTTTTATTATTTTTCCTGACCTTTCCTCTAGTATATTCTTCCTTTGATCTTTTTAGAAAACAGAGTTTGTGTCTTGATGAGACTTTATCTTACATGTTCCTGCTGGCTTGAACCATCAGTAGTATCGGCATGACTGTCCCATAGGGCAACTCGTATCACGGGTGGTTCAGAGCCACCTGGAAGCAAGACATGCAAATTCCTGGCCCCGTTGTGCATGTGTTAACCCAAATGAGTGCATCAGGTGAGGGAAGTACTTGCATTAGACTTGAAGAGTTGGCTAGCCTGACTCAGTTCTCTTTTTAGCATTATTCTCCATATTCTGGCATAGGAACTGGGGTTGAGAGTGGTGAGAGCTATGTGGAGAGACTAGCAGTCCTGTCATTTGCTGCTGTCCCTTTTCGATCTTTCCAAATTGATGTGTAAAGCATTGCTCATATTTTGCCCTTTGATTGAGTAGCTTTCCACAGGAAATGTCTTGTGCACTAAGTTGACCTTCTGCTTTCCACTTTGTGGACCTTTGCCAGACATTGTTGAATCCGGGGAGGACAGGTGGTTTGCAAGTCTCTTTTGTTGCATATCTCTAAAAATAAAATGCCTTAGCCCTTTTTGGAAGATACTTTCGAGGAGGGAAAAAGTAGTTTTTATCTCAACAAAAGCTTCTTAAGATTAAAAATGTAGCGGGATGTTTCAGTGATATTTTTAGTTAGGCTCAACTAGAATTTTAAAATGTGGATCTTTATTTCATGGCTTATTTAGCATAATTGTGGCAGGTAGTTAACATTACTTCACTGAACTGTTCATTTCTGGTGGTCTTAAGTTCCTAACTCCATAGGTCTGCTTGATGTTTGAAATCTGACTTTCTAAAACAAATCTTTTCTGTAGGTGGCCTGCTCTGTGAATAATTCCTGAAGAATGAAGAAGATTAAATCATTTTGGAAGTTCTTTGATGAGCTTTGATAAATGGATAAAGTATTTATAATTTATTAAAAAAAAAAAAAAGAAAACGCCCCAGGTCAAAGTTGTTCAGGTGTGTTTCATTTTGTGTTCCTTACATACTCATGTAATATAGCCTTCCTCTCCCTCTCCCTCTCTCTCTCCCTCTCTCTCTCCCTCTCTCTCCCTCTCTCTCCCTCTCTCTCCC